GGAGCGATTGGTGGAATGATGATGTAAAGAGAGTAGTAAGGGAGAAAAAGTTAGCATATGAGAAGTTTTTACAAAGTAGAAGTGATGCAAGGAGGGAAGAGTATATGGAGAAAAAGAGAGAAGTTAAGAGAGTGGTGAAGCAATGTAAAAAGAGAGCAAATGAGAGAGTGGGTGAGATGTTATCAACAAATTTTGTTGAAAATAAGAAAAAGTTTTGGAGTGAGATTAACAAGTTAAGAAAGCCTAGAGAACAAATGGATTTGTCAGTTAAAAATAGGAGAGGAGAGTTATTAAATGGAGAGTTAGAGGTATTGGGAAGATGGAAGGAATATTTTGAGGAATTGTTAAATGTTGATGAAGATAGGGAAGCTGTGATTTCGTGTATAGGGCAAGGAGGAATAACATCTTGTAGGAGTGAGGAAGAGCCAGTTGTGAGTGTGGGGGAAGTTCGTGAGGCAGTAGGTAAAATGAAAGGGGGTAAGGCAGCCGGGATTGATGGGATAAAGATAGAAATGTTAAAAGCAGGTGGGGATATAGTTTTGGAGTGGTTGGTGCAATTATTTAATAAATGTATGGAAGAGGGTAAGGTACCTAGGGATTGGCAGAGAGCATGCATAGTTCCTTTGTATAAAGGCAAAGGGGATAAAAGAGAGTGCAAAAATTATAGGGGGATAAGTCTGTTGAGTGTACCTGGTAAAGTGTATGGTAGAGTTATAATTGAAAGAATTAAGAGTAAGACGGAGAATAGGATAGCAGATGAACAAGGAGGCTTTAGGAAAGGTAGGGGGTGTGTGGACCAGGTGTTTACAGTGAAACATATAAGTGAACAGTATTTAGATAAGGCTAAAGAGGTCTTTGTGGCATTTATGGATTTGGAAAAGGCGTATGACAGGGTGGATAGGGGGGCAATGTGGCAGATGTTGCAAGTGTATGGTGTAGGAGGTAGGTTACTGAAAGCAGTGAAGAGTTTTTACGAGGATAGTGAGGCTCAAGTTAGAGTATGTAGGAAAGAGGGAAATTTTTTCCCAGTAAAAGTAGGCCTTAGACAAGGATGTGTGATGTCACCGTGGTTGTTTAATATATTTATAGATGGGGTTGTAAGAGAAGTAAATGCGAGGGTCTTGGCAAGAGGCGTGGAGTTAAAAGATAAAGAATCACACACAAGTGGGAGTTGTCACAGCTGCTCTTTGCTGATGACACTGTGCTCTTGGGAGATTCTGAAGAGAAGTTGCAGAGATTGGTGGATGAATTTGGTAGGGTGTGCAAAAGAAGAAAATTAAAGGTGAATACAGGAAAGAGTAAGGTTATGAGGATAACAAAAAGATTAGGTGATGAAAGATTGAATATCAGATTGGAGGGAGAGAGTATGGAGGAGGTGAACGCATTCAGATATTTGGGAGTGGACGTGTCAGCGGATGGGTCTATGAAAGATGAGGTGAATCATAGAATTGATGAGGGAAAAAGAGTGAGTGGTGCACTTAGGAGTCTGTGGAGACAGAGAACTTTGTCCTTGGAGGCAAAGAGGGGAATGTATGAGAGTATAGTTTTACCAACGCTCTTATATGGGTGTGAAGCGTGGGTGATGAATGTTGCAGCGAGGAGAAGGCTGGAGGCAGTGGAGATGTCATGTCTGAGGGCAATGTGTGGTGTGAATATAATGCAGAGAATTCGTAGTTTGGAAGTTAGGAGGAGGTGCGGATTACCAAAACTGTTGTCCAGAGGGCTGAGGAAGGGTTGTTGAGGTGGTTCGGACATGTAGAGAGAATGGAGCGAAATAGAATGACTTCAAGAGTGTATCAGTCTGTAGTGGAAGAAAGGCGGGGTAGGGGTCGGCCTAGGAAGGGTTGGAGGGAGGGGGTAAAGGAGGTTTTGTGTGCGAGGGGCTTGGACTTCCAGCAGGCATGCGTGAGCGTGTTTGATAGGAGTGAATGGAGACAAATGGTTTTTAATACTTGACGTGCTGTTGGAGTGTGAGCAAAGTAACATTTATGAAGGGATTCAGGGAAACCGGCAGGCCGGACTTGAGTCCTGGAGATGGGAAGTACAGTGCCTGCACTCTGAAGGAGGGGTGTTAATGTTGCAGTTTAAAAACTGTAGTGTAAAGCACCCTTCTGGCAAGACAGTGATGGAGTGAATGATGGTGAAAGTTTTTCTTTTTCGGGCCACCCTGCCTTGGTGGGAATCGGCCGGTGTGATAATAAAAATAAAAAAAAAAAAACATTGGAGGCAGCGAGGAGCCAATGGGTCAAGTCAGGTGCTGCCAGGACAGGAAAGGTGCTACCCAGGACAGGTCAAGTGCTGCCAGGGCAGGTCAAGTGCTGCCAGGACAGGTCAGGTGCTGCCAGGACAGGTAAAGTGCTGCCAGGACAGGTAAGGTGCTGCCAGGACAGGTCAGGTGCTGCCAGGACAGGTAAGGTGCTGCCAGGACAGGTAAGGTGCTGCCAGGACAGGTCAGGTGCTGCCAGGACAGATAAGGTGCTGGCAGGACAGGTAAGGTGCTGCCAGGACAGGGCAGGTGCTGCCATGACAGGGAAGGCATTGCCAGGACAGGGCAGGTACTGCCAGGACAGGGCAGGTGCTGCCAGGACAGGTCAGGGCTGCCAGGACAGGTCTTCAAACAGTATACTACATCCTTTCCAAAATACAGTACTATGTACCCCAAATGGCACTACTTACACTATACCACTCTCTAATTTATCCCTACCTCACCTATGGTATTTGTGCTTGGGGATCTACTATGACTAATCACTTTAAACTATTAAAAATCCAACGAAAAGCTGCTGTGTGGATGATCACTAACTCCTGCACGTAACAACACACCCCTCCACTCTTCAAGAGTTTGAACTTACATAATATACAAAACATGCACTCATATTACCATGTCTACTATATATATATAGAACATTAAACTCCAATATAAACTCTCCTCTCAAACTTCTTGACATCCCTCGTGCCTGTCTCACCTTATGCAAAAATGCAATGCACACAAAGGGCCCAAAGATCTGGGATTCATTGCCTGAACTAGCAAAAGGTTTCCTGTTTGCCAGTCAATTTAAGGCTATAATTAAAAATCACCTTATCTCCCAAACTATACTATGCCTGAACCAGTTTGAAACTACTCAAGAAAGCCCAATTAACTTAACATTAAATCAATTTAAAATATTAATACACACTTAAAATCGTACTATTGTAAATTATACTAACTGTAATACTTCTTTTTTTGCAACCTCTCTACTACAAATTTTATTGATTATAAAATTTTTGCTACCCCCTTTTTATATTTTTTTTATTTTAACATGTAGCTTTAAAAATAGGTTGGATAAATACATGAGTGGATGTGGGTGGGTGTGAGTTGGACCTGATAGCTTGAGCTACCAGGTCGGTTGCCGTGTTCCTCCCTTAAGTCAATGTGACCTGACCTGACTAGGTTGGGTGCACTGGCTTAAGCCGGTAGGAGACTTGGACCTGCCTCGCATGGGCCAGTAGGCCTTCTGCAGTGTTCCTTCGTTCTTATGTTCTTATGTTCTTATCTCCTACTGAGGCAGGGTGACCCAAAAAAGACACACTTTCCCCATCATTTACACACAATCACTGTTTTTGCAGAGGTGCCCAGATATGACAGTTTAGTTTTATAATGTATAATTAAAATTCACCACTCCATAACCCATGTCTATAGGTTTTAGTAGTGTGTAAGCATTAGGATTAGTCTGCCCAAAATGCTCATGCATGTTAGTGACTTTCTTTGTCCTTAACAATATTTTATTACATGTAAACTACACATTGTACACTATGTGAAATAAAATTTTGAATTTTGAATCTGAATGGGTTTAGACAAAATTTACATCCCTCTGACCTTCCTCACCAGCACCTCACTTATCCCCAAGAGCACCTCACTTGCTCCCCCTTCCACACAGCACCTGACAAGACCCAATGGCACCTCACTTGCCCTAACAGCACCTGACCAGACCCAACAGCAACAGACATGCCTCCAAGAGCACCTGACCTGTCCTGATATTATTATTATTATTATAAAAAAGAAGCACTAAGCCACAAGGGCTATACAGTTGTCCTGATATTACATAACCTATCCTGGCACCACCTGACCTAACCTCCACCACATGCATTATATACAGCTTTTTCTTTTATATATTCCACGTTGTTGATAAAATGAACTGGCTAGTGGGTTAAATGCTGTATTAATAAAAAGGTTCTTTGCTGTTTTGTTTTTTTTACCATCAACATGGTACATGCTGCGGAAACTGAAAATTATAAAATATACAGATGATAGATAAAACATTAAATACTACAAGACAATACAAGCATAGCTCTGCTTCCACAACTTCAAATCAGCAATGACAAATAAATAATACCTAGCACAGTATAAAGTTTACAGGTCACATTCATAAAAAAAATATTTTTTTTTTTTATTATCACACCGGCCGATTCCCACCAAGGCAGGGTGGCCCGAAAAAAATATATATAATTTATAGAAAACAAATATGGGGATTATGGATAATTTGCATGGAAAGGAGAGTATAATAAAACAATAATAAAAAAGGCACTAATTTACTCTCAAAAATCCTAAAAGTTCTTAGTATTCTGTGTTTGTAAAAGATTATTTATATCAAGTGAAGTACTACAAAACTTGTGAGGAAATACTGCAGATGGGAAAATAATAGAGCAATACATTATGAAACCCAAAAAGAAAAATTCATAACTGCCACATTTTAAGTGAGGAAATCTAAAGCAAAATTAGTAGGTAAGCATGTACAGTACAACAAAGCGTGCATAACATTTGCTCTGTTAGAATTCTGGAAAATCATTACATGGATCATGTGACTTTAGCAAAAGAAAATTCATAATACAGTACATGAAAACTCTCTGAAATGAGAGAAACACATGCAGCTCATTCCATTAAAATAATATATAACAACATGAAGATTATTGTTAGAAATCATAAAAAAAATAGATCGACTCAAAACATCAAACAGTAGCCATACCTGCTTATGAGCAAACCGCAAGTTTCGAATATCTTTACAAAATATTTCAATACCATATGAGTTTTCGCCACGACTAGTATTTGCACCACCCACTTTCTCTATTCTTGATACCTGAAATTATTAAATATTTAACAAAGCATATATGTCGTAACTAAATCAACAAAGTTATGTAGTAACTTGCATGATACCATGTAAAGCATATCCTTTATATACCCCTATCATTTTAAAATTGATGTATTATTCCATATTGATACCCTACATGTCTGACTACAAATTGGTTATGAGACACACTGTCATTCCATCCTCTTACTCTGTTCTTAGTCTTCCTCTTCATCTTCTACCTTTTGCCTTACTTGTAATATTCTCTATCCCAAACTGTAATGAGTTACTGTTCTTCACAAACCCTATCAGAATATTGTACTACCCTTTACTTTTTCCCTTCCTTACACAGGAACTTTATTTCATGTACCATATATACTCAAGTATAATCCAATAGCATGTGCAAAATAGGTCAACCCTGACTTTTTGCCAAAAGAGCCTTAATTTTTCATATACTTTATCTCATGAATATGTCTATGCCACTCATGAATAATGGTATGTGGAAGATTTATGGTTCCACTGCAAGAATTGAATTGTGACAGGAATATTGTCAATGAAGGTAAGAATGGAAAGATTGTGAGCCTGTCCAGCATTTTGCAGTGATGATGCAGGCACCACTCTCAAGAGCATGATATGAAGTATTTTTGACCAACATAGCATAGGAGTGCACTGCTGATACTATGGTCTGAAAGATAGTCAGTAGGAGATGTCAGTTTTAGAGTGAAGAATTTAGTCCAGTGTGTACCTTGAAACATAAGAGTGTAAGGGGAGGTAAGTGTTATGTTGGGCATTTCTGTGAAGAGCAAGAGGTAACTGGGACAGTGTCATCTGTTAGGAGGTCATGGATGTTTAGGTGAGGGACCAGTGGTGGTCCATCCTGAAATGAATGGGCAATCTGAAAATCACCACACTGTAGAGGGTAAAGCCGGAAACACAGTCAAAAATGCACGGAGGTCAGACACATCAAAAGGGTCAGGCGAAACCTCAGTACCAGAGATGGGCAATGAAATGCTACCTGGAGAAGGTACTGGGTTGTTAGAGAGGGCTAAAAAATGGTCTAAAGATGAGGCAGAGCAATGAGGGGGGTTGACACAGGAGAAAGGGGCCCAGGAGGAGGAATTTCATGGACCTGGGACTCCATGGTAAGGTTTTTATTTTTTTTTTTTAATCTTTTTTAAAAAAAAAAGAAGGGGGGTACATGGGTACAAGGGGGGCCCTCAGTGCAGCCAGTAGTGCAGGTGTGGTATGAAACCCATACCAGTAACCCAGCAATCCAGGATAGCAACCTCACATCCACCTGGAGGACAAAAGAGAGGGCGGCCAGAAGCCTGCCGCAAGGCATACTTCCTTCAGGCACCACCTCCTGGAACCAACAGGCAGCCTCCGGAGATACACCTGCCACCTGAAGGACACTGTATGCCACCCTCCGGGACTTCAGAGGGTGGACTGTAACATCTCCAGATGATCCAGATTCCACAGCAAACACCACAACCACCAAGGACCTCAACAGAATGGGACAGATAATGACACCCTTTCCCAATCATAGGAGCTAGAATTTCAGAGAGGACCCCAAAGGCCAAAAGCAGCAAAGGAAGGAGAGGGGAGGGATGGCAAGGATAGGGCAGGGAAGGGAGGAGTGGGGGGGGGTAGTTAGGTTCAGTCGGAGGAAGAATACTGAAAGGTCCAGTTCCTCAGAACAAGAGCCTCTTTGCCACTTGAAGAGGCAAAGACTTGATAAATATAAGAATAAAGGAGAACCTCAGTAAGCAGGTCCTACTCACACCCATCCATTACGTAAGAACATAAGAATACACTAGCACTGCAGTAGGCCTAATGCCTATGCTAGGCAGTTCCTACTTACACCCAACCATAACTTAAGGACAGGTGAACTGCAGCAAGCCAACTGGCTTATACTAGGAAGATCCTACTTACACCCAACCATTACTTAAGGATAGGTGCACTGCAGCAAGCCAATTAGGTCATGCTAGAAAGATCCTCCTTACACCCATTACGTAAGGACAGGTGCACTGCAGCAATCCAACTGGCCCATGCTAGGCAGATCTTACTAACATCAAACACTTGTTTGTTGGGAAAAGACTGGTAAAGAACTGCAACTTTATTACTCTGTTTACGTATATTGTTCTGTTTGTTGGCACAGTTATCCATGTCTAGTATGCATTAGTGGTTAGTGGGAAGAGGAGGAGGATGGGTTGATGGTTGGGACAGTATGGTCATAGGGAAAATATTGGAGGACAGGCACTGACACTGTCTTTCTCCTCTACTTAATGTGATTTGGCTTACTGTACTCACCCCTCTTCTCACTGAATTACCCTCAGTCTCTTCTCCACACCAAAACAAAATAAAAAATATTTGTTTATATTGTCTTACACAATTGTTAGCATTTCATATCAATAAACTGTAGAGAGAGAAACTAAATAATGGTTAGTTTTCAGTTTTGGCAGTGATCTGTTGTTTTGTAAATAGAGGAAAGATGTTTTCCATCATATTCATAAATTAGCTTTAACTTAAGTGAACCTCATAGACTACAACTTAACCTAAGGAAGGGATGTTAGAACAAGCTACAGAGCCTGACCAGATACCCTGCATTTTAAGGTCTACATGGAGACTAACCAGGTCTCCCTAGTGCATGGCCAGGTCTCTCTGGTGCTTGACCAGGTTTCCCTGGTGCTTAACCAGGTCTCACTGGTGATTATCCAGGTCTCACTGGTGCCTGACCAGGTCTTCTTGGTGCTTGACTAGCTCTCCCTGGTGCCTGACTAGCTCTCCCTGGTGCTTGACCATTTCTCCCTGGTGCCTGACTAGGTCTACATGGAACCTAACCATGTCTCTGGTGCTTGACCAATGCATATACAACTACTATGCATTATTTATTGATACCTGAGTCCTGGAAATGGGAAGTACAATGCCTGCACTTTAAAGGAGGGGTTTGGGATATTGGCAGTTTGGAGGGATATGTTGTGTATCTTTATATGTGTATGCTTCTAGACTGTTGTATTCTGAGCACCTCTGCAAAAACAGTGATAATGTGCGAGTGTGGTGAAAGTGTTGAATGATGATGAAAGTATTTTCTTTTTGGGGATTTTCTTTCTTTTTTTGGGTCACTCTGCCTCGGTGGGAGACGGCCGACTTGTTGAGAGAAAAAAAAAAAACCTGTATATTTAAGTTGGGCGATGGCTGCTGTGTTAAAATATTTAACTTGGAATATAGTTACAGAGTATGGTGTTCTAGATGCACTAAAGAGGGAATCTAGCATGTAAGAATTTCAATCTCTCAAAGGTATTACTGTACTCATAAATAGGTCTGATCTTCCCATACTTTCTGCTTAAAATTTTACTTTATAAACCTTGACCTACATCCAAGTATATATATGATACACCTCTCACATCTTTAAGCCAATGTCTAATTCTTTTTTCTATTGCAAAAGACTTTATTAAAAATCTATTATTATTTCTGGCTAACAACAACATTTATTGATATACATATATACTGTATTACTTTTTATTAACTATCACAAGTTAATATGGTTTTTAAACTAATAATATTGAAACTCACCACACCCAACGGTACTTCTAATTCAAAAGGGGGATCAGTTTCGGGACTTCGAAAGTATAAACGATAATTAGTGACGGATAACGTGCCCTTCTTTGGACCTGTGTACGGACAGAGGTAGGTCACCTCTCGTGCTGTCCCCTCCATATGCTCCCCAGGAACTAGTGAAGGTTCATCAGGACGCAGTGTTCTTGAGCCATCACGCACTGTCATCTGTAATTACGTGAAAGAAGACTCATGAGAAAACAATATATGTAATAATAAACTTACATGCTGCTTAATCACATACAGTGGAACCTCGTTTTTCGGCCGTAATCCATTCCAGAAGGTCAGCCTAAATTCGAAACGGTTCAAATTCGATGGAATATTTCCCATAAGAATTAATGTAAATACAATTAACCCGTACCAGACACTCAAAAATATTCACAAAAAAATACATTTTTTAAAGATTAATTATAGTTTTACATACACAAAACAATGAGAACTAAATAAAATAAATAAATAAACATTTAAATCACTATTATGTATATACCTTTATCGAAGACTCTTGTTGGCTTATGGCTTATGGAGAGAGGGAAGACTGATTATTGTTTTGAAGGGGAATCCCCTTCCATAAGGACTTCAGGTATCAAAGCCTTCTCTGGGGTTGCTTCCCTCCCTGCCTGCTACACTCCCTGCATGCCTGCTACACTCCATGCCTGCCTGCTACACTCCCTGCCTCCCTTCCACACTCCCTGCCTACCTGCTACACTCCCTGCCTCCATGCTACACTCCCTGCATGCCTGTTACACTCCCTGCCTGCCTGCTACACTCCCTGCCTCCCTTCCACACTCCCTGCCTACCTGCTACACTCCCTGCCTCCATGCTACACTCCCTGCATGCCTGTTACACTCCCTGCCTGCCTGCTACACTCCCTCCCTCCATGCTACACTCCCTGCCTGCCTACTACACTCCCTGCCTCCCTTCCACACTCCCTGCCTGCCTTCCACACTCCCTGCCTGCCTGCTACACTCCCTGCCTCCATGCTACACCCCCTGCCTGCCTGCTACACTCCTTCTCTCCATGCTACACTCCATGCCTGCCTGCTACACTCCCTGCCTCCCTTCCACACTCCCTGCCTCCATGCTACACTCCCTGCATGCCTGTTACACTCCCTGCCTGCCTGCTACACTCCTTCCCTCCATGCTACACTCCCTACATGCCTGCTACACTCCCTGCCTGCCTGCTACACTCCCTGCCCATGGTGGCTTATTTCAGAGTCGCACTTAATAAACAAGCCACATCAGCTTCCTTGATTTGTTCTTTCTTTGCCAGGATAGAAGTGACTGTTGATTTGTTTTTGCCATACATCCCATGGTGACTTATTTCACAGTTGGACTTAATAAAAAAACACCAAAAACAATGGATTTTAAGGAAATGTTTGGATGAATGTGCAGAGTATATGCTCACTTGCCAACAGACAAAGGGAGACTGACTCACCTACACGCGGCGTCCCAGGCTGACGCATCTAATACGGCCGATATACATGGCCACGGCCAAAATATGGAGCAAAATTTCCGCCGAAAAAACAGCCTAAATACAAATCGGTCAATAAACACAGCAGCCGAAAAATGAGGTTCCACTGTATCTAGCATATTAAATAATTACTAAATCTAATAGTATAAAAAGAAGAACTTGTCAACAGACCAACAATACTGAAATTATTTTTATTTTTAAGGGAAGTACTAAACCCATTAGGGTTATACAGTGCCTGATAAGTGGAAGGCAATGAGGTTTGATCCAAGAAGGGAAGGACAGATATAATTCCTTGGATCAAGAGCCCCTCACTAGCATTACGCAACTTTCCTTGATAGAACTGTATTTAAAAAAATTTAAGTCTCAATTCAGACTTATTTTCCAGGAATTCTTTATAGCTACAGAGTGGTTAGGTTAAAATACACTTAACCCAATGGCGATATTTATGCATTGGCGATTTCACCCACTTTATGCCCTACTTTTGGCCTATTCCATTGTTCCAGTCAACCAAATTCATGGCTATTTTGCCAGTATTCCTTCTATTCTATTGATTGAGTACAAGAAACTGCCCATTTACCTATTTCAACTACCCAATAAAGTGGTCAGAAATCAGTAATTTGGCCAATTTCACACAAATTTCAAGACATACCAATTTCAAAATAGGGTCCAGAATAAACAATGCAGACATTCCTGGTGCTAAAATAACATTTTCTCTGTTCATTAGTCACATCTCCAGGCCACTTTTATATTACACATGCTTTCCATTTTGAATTTTTATTCACACAAAAAATAAAAGATTTACTCTTATGCAGACTACTGCATTATTGTAATAATTGTATAAATAATGTCAACCCATTCATGACTGTGTATTAGACTGGCCAGTTGGACACGTACTGGACAGTGACGTCATCTGTTTACTCTTGAACATTGGCAAAAATCGAACATTTCCGCTGCTTTGAACTCAATTTCAAAGTACTTTCTGACCAAAAAAAAAACAAGAAAACAGAGAATAAAACCATACAAACTATACAAAAATACACCACAAAGTCGCTGTTTTACACCAAAGGCACGGTCACTGTTTTTTCTCATTATGCACTGCACACTGCAGGATTTTTTTTATATAATGCACACTTACCACACAGACCTATTTTCTCATATGTAAGCCCAAATTTACCAGACACAGCTTACCTGAGTGAGCTGAGCTCATGGCAACTGATAGTGACTTCAAAGCCACCTTTTCTTTTATGGATAATGTACAGTGTATGTGCATTACACAATGAAGAGCATTTCTTTTATTCATTGAAACATGGCTAGGACTAAAAGTGAGCAAGTTATATCAATAAACGGAGAAAAAGAAATTGGAATGACACAGTAGCAGCAGGTTGGTGTGGCAACCCTGGAAATTTGATTTTTTTTTTTTTTTCAACAAGTCGGCCGTCTCCCACCGAGGCAGGGTGACCCAAAAAAGAAAGAAAATCCCCAAAAAGAAAATACTTTCATCATCACTCAACACTTTCACCACACTTGCACATTATCACTGTTTTTGCAGAGGTGCTCAGAATACAACAGTTTAGAAGCATACAAATATAAAGATACACAACATATCCCTCCAAACTGCCAATATCCCAAACCCCTCCTTTAAAGTGCAGGCATTGTACTTCCCATTTCCAGGACTCAAGTCCGACTATATGAAAATAACCAGTTTCCCTGAATCCCTTCACTAAATATTACCCTGCTCACGCTCCAACAGATCGTCAGGTCCCAAGTACCATTCGTCTCCTATCTAACACGCTCACGCACGCTTGCTGGAAGTCCAAGCCCCTTGCCCACAAAACCTCCTTTACCCCTTCTCTCCAACCCTTTCGAGGACGACCCCTACCCCGCCTTCCTTCCCCTATAGATTTATATGCTTTCCATGTCATTCTACTTTGATCCATTCTCTCTAAATGACCAAACCACCTCAACAACCCCTCTTCTGCCCTACGACTAATGCTTTTATTAACTCCACACCTTCTCCTAATTTCCACACTCCGAATTTTCTGCATAATATTTACACCACACATTGCCCTTAGACAGGACATCTCCACTGCCTCCAACCATCTCCTCGCTGCTGCATTTACCACCCAAGTTCCTCAAAATATTCTCGCCATCTACCTGATACCTTCATCTCCCCATCTACTAACTCCCCTACTTTGTTTTTAACTGACAAATCCATACTTTCCCTAGGCTTTCTTAACTTGTTTAACTCACTCCAAAAATTTTTCTTATTTTCATTAAAATTTCTTGACAGTGCCTCTCCCACTCTATCATCTGCTCTCCTTTTGCACTCTCTCACCACTCTCTTTACCTTTCTTTTACTCTCCATATACTCTGCTCTTCTTATAACACTTCTGCTTTGTAAAAACCTCTCATAAGCTACCTTTTTCTCTTTTATCACACCTTTTACTTCATCATTCCACCAATCACTCCTCTTTCCTCCTGCCCCCACCCTCCTATAACCACAAACTTCTGCCCCACATTCTAATACTGCATTTTTAAAAACTATTCCAACCCTCTTCAACCCCCCCACTACTCATCTTTGCACTAGCCCACTTTTCTGCCAATAGTCGCTTATATCTCACCCGAACTTCCTCCTCCCTTAGTTTATACACTTTTACCTCCCTCTTACTTGTTGTTGCCACCTTCCTCTTTTCCCATCTACCTCTTACTCTAACTGTAGCTACAACTAAATAATGATCCGATATATCAGTTGCCCCTCTATAAACATGTACATCCTGGAGCCTGCCCATCAACCTTTTATCCACCAATACATAATCTAATAAACTACTTTCATTACGTGCTACATCATACCTTGTATATTTATTTATCCTCTTTTTCATAAAATATGTATTACTTATTACCAAATCTCTTTCTACACATACCTCAATTAAAGGCTCCCCATTTACATTTACCCCTGGCGCCCAAAATTTACCTACTACTCCCTCCATAACATTTTTACCCACTTTAGCATTGAAATCCCCAACCACCATTACTCTCACACTTGATTCAAAACTCCCCACGCATTCACTAAACATTTCCCAAAATCTCTCTCTCTCCTCTACACTTATCTCTCCTCTACACTTCTCTCTTCTCCAGGTGCATACATGCTTATTATAACCCACTTTTCACATCCAATCTTTATTTTACTCCACATAATCCTTGAATTAATACATTTATAGTCCCTCTTTTCCTGCCATAGCTTATCCTTCAACATTATTGCTACTCCTTCTTTAGCTCTAACTCTATTTGGAACCCCTGACCTAATCCCATTTATTCCTCTCCACTGAAACTCTCCCACCCCCTTCAGCTTTGTTTCACTTAAAGCCAGGACATCCAGCTTCTTCTCATTCATAACATCCACAATCATCTCTTTCTTATCATCTGCACAACATCCACGCACATTCAGACTTACCACTTTGACAATTTTCTTCTTCTTATTCTTTTTAGTAATCTTTACAGGAAAAGGGGTTACTAGCCCATTGTTCCCGGCATTTTAGTTGACTTTTACAACACACATGGCTTACGGAGGAAAGATTCTTATTCCACTTCCCCATGGATATAAAAGGAAAAGTAATAAGACCAAGAACTATTCAGATAAAATCAAAGAAAACTCAGATGAGTGTGTATTTATGAGACAGACAAAAGACATCAGCAATCCTACCATCATGTAAAACAATCACAGGCTTTCGTTTTACACTCACTTGGCAGGACGGTAGTACCTCCCTGGGTGATTGCTGTCTACCAACCTACTAAATATTACCCTGCTCACACTCCAACAGATCGTCAGGTCCCAAGTATCATTCGTCTCCATTCACTCCTATCTAACACACTCATGCACGCTTGCTGGAAGTCCAAGCCCCTCGCCCACAAAACCTCCTTTACCCCCTCTTTCCAACCCTTTCGAGGACGACCCCTACCCCGCCTTCCTTCCCCTATAGATTTATATGCTTTCCATGTCATTCTACTTTGATCCATTCTCTCTAAATGACCAAACCACCTCAACAACCCCTCTTCTGCCCTACGACTAATGCTTTTATTAACTCCACACCTTCTCCTAATTTCCACACTCCGAATTTTCTGCATAATATTTACACCACACATTGCCCTTAGACAGGACATCTCCACTGCCTCCAACCATCTCCTCGCTGCTGCATTTACCACCCAAGCTTCACATCCATATAAGAGTGTTGGTACTACTATACTTTCATACATTCCCTTCTTTGCCTCCATAGATAACGTTTTTTGACTCCACATATACCTCAATGCACCACTCACCATTTTTCCCTCATCAATTCTATGATTAACCTCATCCTTCATAAATCCATCCGCCGACACGTCAACCCCCAAGTATCTGAAAACATTCACTTCTTCCATACTCCTCCTCCCCAATTTGATATCCAATTTTTCTTATCTAAATCATTTGACACCCTCATCACCTTACTCTTTTATATGTTCACTTTCAACTTTCTACCTTTACACACATTCCCAAACTCATCCACTAACCTTTGCAATTTTTCTTTAGAATCTCCCATAAGCACAGTATCATCAGCAAAAAGTAACTGTGTCAATTCCCATTTTGAATTTGATTCCCCAAAATTTAATCCCACCCCTCTCCCGAACACCCTAGCATTTACTTCCTTTACAACCCCATCTATAAATATATTAAACAACCATGGTGACATTACACATCCCTGTCTAAGACCTACTTTTACCGGGAAGTAGTCTCCCTCTCTTCTACACACCCTAACCTGAGCCTCACTATCCTCATAAAAGCTCTTTACAGCATTTAGTAACTTACCACCTATTCCATATACTTGCAACATCTGCCACATTGCTCCTCTATCCACTCTATCATATGCCTTTTCTAAATCCATAAATGCAATAAAAACTTCCCTACCTTTATCTAAATACTGTTCACATATATGCTTCAATGTAAACACTTGATCTACACATCCCCTACCCACTCTGAAACCTCCCTGCTCATCCACAATCCTACATTCTGTCTTACCTCTAATTCTTTCAATTATAACCCTACCGTACACTTTTCCTGGTATACTCAGTAAACTTATTCCTCTATAATTTTTACAGTCTCTTTTGTCCCCTTTCCCTTTATATAAAGGGACTATACATGCTCTCCGCCAATCCCTAGGTACCTTCCCCTCTTTCATACATTTATTAAACAAAAGTACCAACCACTCCAACACTATATCCCCCCCTGCTTTTAACATTTCTGTCATGATCCCATCAGTTCCAGCTGCTTTACCCCCTTTCATTCTACGTAATGCCTCACGTACCTCCACCACACTTACATTCTGCTCTTCTTCACTCCTAAAAGATGGTATACCTCCCTGGCCAGTGCAAGAAATTACCGCCTCCCTTTCTTCCTCAACATTTAAAAGTTCCTCAAAATGTTCTCGCCATCTACCTAAAACCTCCCTCTCCCCATCTACTAACTCCCCTACTCTGTTTTTAACTGACAAATCCATACTTTCCCTAGGCTTTCTTAACTTGTTTAACTCACTCCAAATTTTTTTTCTTATTTTCATTAAAATTTCTTGACAGTGCCTCTCCCACTCTTTCATGTGCTCTCCTTTTGCACTCTCTCACCACTCTCTTCACCTTTCTTTTACTCTCCATATACTCTGCTCTTCTTTTAACACTTCTGCTTTGTAAAAACCTCTCGTAAGCTACCTTTTTCTCTTTTATCACACCCTTTACTTCATCATTCCACCAATCACTCCTCTTTCCTCTTGCCCCCACCCTCCTATAACCACAAACTTCTGCCCCACATTCTAATACTGCATTTTTAAAACTATTCCAACCTTCTTCAACCCCCCCACTACTCATCTTTGCACTAGCCCACCTTTCTGCCAATAGTCACTTATATCTCGCCCGAACTCCCTCCTCCCTTAGTTTATACACTTTCACCTCCCTCTTACTTGTTGTTGCCACCTTCCTCTTTTCCCATCTACCTCTTACTCTAACTGTAGCTACAACTAAATAATGATCTGATATATCAGTTGCCCCTCTATAAACATGTACATCCTGGAGCCTACCCATCAACCTTTTATCCACCAATACATAATCTAACAAACTACTTTCATTACGTGCTACATCATACCTTGTATATTTTTTATCCTCTTTTTCATAAAATATGTATTACTTATTACCAAATTTCTTTCTACACATAGCTCAATTAAAGGCTCCCCATTTACATTTACCCCTGGCACCCCAAATTTACCTACTACTCCCTCCATAACATTTTTACCCACTTTAGCATTGAAATCCCCAACCACCATTACTCTCACACTTGATTCAAAACTCCCCACGCATTCACTCAACATTTCCCAGAATCTCTCTCTCTCCTCTACACTTCTCTCTTCTCCAGGTGCATACACGCTTACTATAACCCACTTTTCACATCCAATCACATACAATCCAATTTGAAATTACCCTAGCCGAAATTAGTGGTGGATTACTGATGGAACTGGATTACTGATTGCCAGATTAGTGATGGCCAACCTGTATTAGTGTTCACAAAGCTTCAAATAGGTCCACTCAAATTCACAAAAATAATTGTGGGTTAAGAGAGACAGTAATGGCTAAGGAGTGTTGTCAATACCAACTGAATATTACTATCCACAGGGATAAAATCTGTATGAGCTATAAAGCCATTTCTAAACAGTTTCAGGAGGGTTTTTCTTTTATGCCCATTACAACACTTATTAATTTTAAAGTTTTAATTAAACAGTCTATAATTACTATCTCAATCCTTAAGTGCTATTTTCTCCAACACACAAGAAAAGAAGAGTTGAAATGGTTAATGCTGCAATGTTATGTGTGTAAAATGTACCGTTTCAAATAAAACTAGTACAGGTGCATATATAAGAAAAGTCAAAATATTTATCTTCCTTTGTATGAATGAATCTTTTTGGATTCTTTAGATACAATAAGCAAGCAATAAGTATAATATTCAGCAATATATCACACATTCAGATTTTCGTTCACCTATTATAATCATGCACCTTTAATACAGTGCAATTATATATTTTGTAGATATTTAGTATAAAAAAAAAAAAATTTAGTATATCCATATCAACAGCATACAAAGTGGCATACATGCTTCCATTTATCTATAAAATAAGTTGCACCTCAATTCATCTTCTGAACATGGCATAGAATTTCTTGTTCCAAGCTACAGAACTGTAGCCCAAATTACTCACTTTTGAAGTGGCGTTGAGGACATGCGAAAGTTGGTTGTGGTGGTGTTGGTCAGTGGAGGTGGAGCTGGAAGAGCAGACACTCTTTGGGGGGGAGGGAGACCCCGCCGAGGGTGACCCCGCCTGAACCCCGCATGCAAACAAAAGTATAAGAGTCAGACACTAAGCTATGCAGCTATGACATTATCAGATCTTAGAAATTGTTTTGAGTTGATATATTATTCTGAAGCAAAGTACCAAGATATCTAACAAGGATCACACGCCATTTAAATTCTCATTGCACAGCAATATTTAACATATTGTAATTTTTTTTTTTTTCAACAAGTCGGTCGTCTCCCACCGAGGCAGGGTAAATACCCCATTATTATGTATATATGTAATTAAACATGCAACAGTGATATAAACTTCCCTTTGAGAAGTGGGCTAATATCCAAGGTTCAAGATAAAAATAAGCCACTGAAATTAAGTTTAGGTCATGTTACTAATAATGAAGAAATGAGCAACATTAGTTACTAAAATTTTGTGAAATACCAGGAAAAACTTCAAATTATAACAAGAGCAGTAAGTGTGTGTGGTAGTGTGCCATTGGACGGGAACAGGGGTAAGCAAAGTTGTCAAAAAATAAAAATGAAATCCAAATTTCTTTATTACTGTCCCAAAAGAGAGAGCACAAAAATGACCATAAATAAAAAACAAAATCTTTTGTTAATAAATGAGATTAAATTATTTAATAAATTTCATTACTGCAAACTTGTCAACTCAAAAAATAAAGATTTTAAATTTCTTCACTAATTTTTACCAAAAAAATATGAATACACATCTACATTTAGGTTCATTTTCAAAATATTCAATGAATTTATTTAAAATTGAGAAATTCGTTAAGAAACTTATGATCAGGATTTTATGCACTGGATGTAATATATATTTCAATTGCATTTGCAAGAACCATATAGACAATTTTTATAAGAGAGATGACTGTTATACTGTGTCATATTTATTCAGATACAGGAATTTACAGACAATTTCAGTTTCCTGGAGTTTTTGGATTCTCAGTTAATAATTTCGTAACTGCACAGTACGACAATTCTAAAAATTGCCATTATCCAGCACATCTTTTATTTGAAATATATTTTTTTTATAGCAGTATAACAAAGTATCCCTGATAAAAAGAAAAATTAGTTTTATAAAGAAGAACTAGAAGGATGAAACAATAAATTTCAAGAGGGTTTATGTTAGCATAAGGCTTAAGTATTGCAAGGTTCAGGTCAATGTACTGAGGAATGCTCAAGTTTCTTTTTAAACATACTGTCCACTTCCCACCAAGGCAGTGAGGGTCAAAAAAAGAAAAACATTTATCATGACTCATTCTCTGCATTGCATTATCCTCCCCCATTCTTAAGTTACCTTCAACAAAAATCCCTACCAGGGTATCCAGTAAGTTAATACGCAGTTATTTGTAGCTAAATGACTGTATGAACCTTGCCTGATATGCACGTGATATTTATTCGTCATAATAAGAGATATCAAAGTACAGTACAAAAAAAAAATCTGATAATGTCACACTTTAAGACAAGCTCAAAAGGCTGGTAAAGCATGGTTAGCAAAAATGAAAGACTATGTCAAGAATACCAAACCAGCTTGAAAGACTAAGAAGGTAAGATTATGCTTGAAATAAATAAGACAAGGCTTATCTCACTGGCAAGAGTTAAATTTTACTTGCAGTTGATCTTTAAGGAATTAGTGCTGTATTAGTTTTCTACAAAACAGAAAGACCAAACTCTGAAATAATCCCCCTTATGATAAAGAATCAGTATTAAAGGTCAAAAAAAAAAAAAAACATTAAAATCATTACACTACACCAAGAAGAAAGCTCTCACGATACCAGTAAACTTTTCATAATGTACCTCATCAAACATTATCATATTTTATTTTTATTTCTAAAACAATGGCCATCTCCCACCAAGGCAGGGTGACCCTGACAAAGAAGAAATGAAAGTTTCTTCTTTTCACATTTAGTAATTTATACAGGAGAAGGGGTTACTAGCCCCCTGCTCCCGGCATTTTGGTTGCCTCTTATAACATGCACGGCTTACGGAGGAAGAATTCTTCTCCATTTCCCATGGACAGTTATCACATTAATGTACTATATATAACAGTTTACCATATTAACTTATGTGACAAAGTATCTTAATTTACAAGTACATATTATCACCTTAGTATCCTTAATCATAAGTTTACCATATTTTATTATTTTATAAAGGCAAAATAAACATTACCTTTATGTTATGAAGGAATTCTTACAAACATTATTCCTATCTGCTCAGGACTCATACTCAAACTAAAATCTCACCTTTCACACCAGAAATCTTCAAAGTGTATATGCTCAGACCTTCTAGGCCACAATCTCTTCATCAAGTCTGATATACCATTACAGTATGAAGTGTTACGTGCTTACTTCAAAGCCAGGCACATTCGGGCAAATGTAACAGCAATATGAATGTACTGTATGGTCCAAGGTTCCAGTAACACCACGTAACATCTTATAAGCCTCATACCTCACCAAATAGCATCCTGCTGACAATACTGAACAAAAAGTGCACAGGAGAAGGGGTTACTACCTCCTTGCTCCCGGCATTTCAGTCGCCTCCTACGACACGCATGGCTTACAGAGGAAGAACAAGCTTGTATTGCTATAACATTTTACTCTGCATGATTTGATGAAAGCTCTTCAAAGAGTGAAATGTTAAAAAACAAAAATTTGTTCTGCCACTTATTTCTTTTTCTTATTTCAAATTTATTACAATGAACATATTTAAAACATGCAAAATCTTGGGCAGAGGAAAGACAGCATAGTGGTCATCCCAGGAAAGATTGGAATAATGGGTAAACAAGGTTTTAAGGGAGAGAGGCTTGAGCATCTAGTAGGCATGTGTGAGCGTGTTAGATTGGAGTGGAGATAATTGGTTTTTAGGGTTTGCGGTTGGAGTGTGATCAAGGAATTAATATTTAAGAGGGATTCAGGGAAATACTTTAGCTGGACTTGAGTTCTGGAGGTGGGAAGTAAAGTGCCTGCCCTCTGAGTTAAAAGTTGGGATGTTACTGTTTGGTAGGTCATCTGAATCGTGATGTCTGCATACTTCTGTCAATACAGCTATTGTATGAATGATGGTGAATGTGATTCCTTTTTTTGAGTTACCCTACCTTGGTGGGAGACACCTGATGTGATAAAGAAAAGAATCTTCAATACATTTTGCAAACCAAATCCAATTGCTTATAGCTAATGTTCATTGCATCTTCAGATTTGCCAACATAAATGTGATATTGCAAAATAACAAATTTACCAAAAAGCAAACCTGCATACAGCAATAGAAAACTATTTACAATACACAATTTCATAAATTCCATGATTAAACTGTCATTTAAAGTTAAATGTTTTAGTAATGTTTCAACAATGAAGCCCAAGCGATTTTCCAGTAGCACCTCAGTAAACATAGCAGCATTAAGAAAACAAATGGCAAATACTGTACAGTATCTTGTTTCATGTTTGATGCATACAAAAAAAAAAGTTTACGTGTACAGAGTAAGAGGAATACTGTATGCAGTATCAACTACCATATGTATATTTATTATTTACTCACCAACTCATGTCCAAGTTTGGAATTGAGGGAGCTTGATTTTGATTCTGAATTCAGACTCTCATGGGAAGCCATCTGCACGTGTGGTGGGGTTCCTGGTGGGGAACTACCGCTGCTGCTGCTGCTGCCGCCGCCGCCGCTGCTGTTATTGCTGCAACTGCTGCTGCTGCTGCCACTTTTATTGCTGTGACTGCTGCAGCTACTGCTGCTGGTCCCACTAGTGCTACTATTACTACTTATACTGCCAACCTGTTTGATGCCTTTAATCTTGCCTTTTTTTTCAATTACCCCGCCAGAGAACATAACCCTATAAAGAAAATGAGCTTTAATAAGGGGTATTATAGAATACTAAAGGACATATAAACATATTAAGAGCATTAAAAGTACTATTAAAAACATGAAATTTATAAAAGCACAGAAATTTACAGATGCTGGAGCAGCAGGTGGCAACATCTGGAATAAGTCAATTACATTTTGAAAAAGTATAAAACATTTAAATCTAAATTTAAACATTTAATTTTATACAGACATTGCAGGAAGGCTCTGGGATGTGTCTAAACCTCTTATAGCAGAACTGAATCCACAGAAATTCTGAACATTACTACAATGTTTAGTCTAGAACTCAGCTTATACTCAATGTGCTGAAAGTAAAGGCACACAAAAGTACAATATGTAAAAATTACATTACATCAACAATAGAATCATCAAACTGACAAGCCAACAATAAAAAAAAATTGTTTCTTTTTTTTTTTAACAAGTCGGCTGTCTCCCACTAACATGTCTATTTATGTCTGGCATAAATTATACAACACATTCCCATAGAAGTTTTTTGGATTATTTACGCTAATCACATTGCACCTTTGAATTACAAACATACAAAAGTTCTTTTTTATTTTTAGATATTCAGCTTGGTCAAGCCAAGTTTCATCCATGATGTCTTACTCATTTTACCAACTACAGCTCGTTCCAAACAAAATAAATCAGTTTTCACATTTCATTTTTTCATTCTCCTCGCCAAGACTACATATGATCTGTGCTCTCAATATATTACATCACATGACAATTATTCCTAGTTCTTTTACATGTCACCCCTGTCTGCATAAAATGCATTAAATAATTATGTACTTGGTATGGGCTTTTCCCTGTAAAAAATAAACAATGTTAACCAACCTCCATAACTCTATTACCTATCTTGCTGGAAAATAAACACCGAATTGAATTAAAAAATAGTTTAAGGAGAGCTGTATGTCTTATATCCCAAAGCAATTTTGAACTAATCTGAAAATAGAATGTTTTATTGACAAGCACCTAAAGTCAGTTCCTGATCAGCCGGGCTGTGGCTCGTACGTTAGTTTGCGTGCAGCCAGCAGCAACAGCCTGGTTGATCAGGCTCTGATCCATCAGGAGGCCTGGTCACAGACCGGGCCGCGGGGGCGTTGACCCCCGGAACTCTCTCCAGGTAAACTCCAGGTATACATACATGTACCTGATACACACATTACTATACATTCATTCAAGGCATGTTAATACTACATGTCTGTAACAGACTACATTTAACAAGAATACATAATTGAGCTGTATATATTAAATACCAATGAGCACCATCATTTCCAATAATAACTAAAAATCCATACCCTCCTGTGCAAATATTTTTTTTAACATATCGGCTGTTTTCCACTGAGGCAGGATGACCCAAAAGGAAAGAAAAATCTAAAAAGATAGAAAAAACTTTCATCATCATTCGACACTTTCACCATCATTCATACGTAATCACTGTCTTTGCCGAGGTGCTCAGATGAAAAAGTTTAGATGCATATACAAATATAATAATTAATTCTTAAAACTCCCACTACAGCACTACAAAAATATACTATGACTTAGCAGAAAAACATATACAGTGGACCCTCGCCTAACGATGGCATCGCATAATGTTAAATCCGCCTAGCGATACATTTTAACGCAAAAATTTTGCTTCGGCTAGCGCTAAAAAAACGCACTAAATGCGATTCGTTCAAGACGTGTCCACGTGCGGCCTGAGCCCACCTCACTTGTTCCGTGGGTGCCAGTGTTTACAAGCCAGCCACCGCAGTCACATCCAAGCATACAATCGGAACATTTCATATTATCACAGCCTTTTTAGTGATTGCACCTGCAAAATAAGTCACCATGGGCCCCAAGAAAGCTCCTAGTGCCAACCCTACAGGAAAAAGGGTGAGAATTACTATGGATATGAAGAAAGAGATCATTCCTAAGTATGAAAGTGAAGTGCGTGTCTCCGAGCTGGCCAGGTTGTACACAAAACCCCAATCAACCATCGATACTATTGTGGCCAAGAAAACGGCAATCAAGGAAGCTGTTCTTGCTAAAGGTGCAACTTTGTTTTTGAAACAGAGATCGCAAGTGATAGATGATGTTGAGAGATTGTTATTGGTGTGGATAAATGAAAAACAGATAGCAGGAGATAGCATCTCTCAAGCGATCATATGTGAAAAGGCTAGGAAGTTTCATGACGATTTAATTACAGAAATGCCTGCAACTAGCTGTGATGTGAGTGAATTTAAGGCCAGCAAAGGTTGGTTTGAGAGATTTAAGAATCGTAGTGGCATACAGTGTGATAAGGCATGGTGAGGCTGCCAGTTCGGACCACAAAGCAGCTGAAAAATATGTGCAGGAATTCAAGGAGTACATAGACAGTGAAGGACTGAAACCTGAACAAGTGTTTAATTGTAACGAAACAGGCCTGTTTTGGAAGAAAATGCCAAGCAGGACCTACATTACTCAGGAGGAAAAGGCACTCCCCAGGACATAAAGCCTATGAAAGACAGGCTAACTCTGTTGATGCATGCTAATGCTAGGGGTGATTGCAAAGTGAAGCCTTTATTGGTGTATCACTCTGAAGCTCCCAGTGTTTTCAGGAAAAACAATTTTCCTCAAGGCTATTTGTGTGTGCTGTGGAGGGCAAACAGAAAGGGCATGGGTCACTAGGGATTTTTTTCTATGACGGGTTTTACATGCATTTGCCCCCACTGTGAAAATTTCCCTCCAGAAAATAAATTGGGACCTTAAGTGCCTCCTGGTATTAGACTTTGCTCTGGTCATCCCTTCAAAATGTGGCAGGCTACTTTCTGTGGAAATGAGCTTCATTAAGGTCAAGTTTTTGCCTCTTAATACCCTCCTCTCCTGCAGCCCATGGACCAACAGGTCATTGCAAACTTCAAAAAAACTCTACACAAAAGCTATGTTTGAAAGGGGGCTTTGTAGTGACCTCAGAAATTCAATTGACTTAAGAGAGTTTTGGAGAGATCACTTTAGCACCTCAATTGTGAAAAACATGATAGGTAAGGTTGCGAGGAAGTGACTAAGAGGACCTTAACTCTGCTTGGAAGAAACTGTGGCCAAAAATGTGTAGACAAAAGGGATTTTGAAGGTTTTGAGCTAACCCTGAAAAGCCTATGCCAGTTGTGGAATCAATTGTGGCATTGGGGAAGTCCTTGGGGGTTTGGAGGTTAGTGGGGAGGATGTGGAAGAGTTTGGGGGAGGAGGACAAAGATGAACTAACCACTGATGAGCTGCTAGATCATCTCAACAGCAAGAGGCCAGACCTGAGGAAACTGCTCCAGAGGAGGGGATAGAGAAATTGAGGAAGTTGCCTACTCAAAGATTAAGGAAATGTGTGCAATGTGGCTTAAAGTTTCAAACCTTTTTTGATGAAAATCACCCTCACACAGCTATTGCAAGCCGTGCTGGTGACTATTACACTGACAATGTTGTGAAACACTTAGGAATGTCATAAAGGAACGAGAGGTACAGGCTTCTATGGATAGATATGTTTTTGCGACAGAGGTCCAGTGACTCCCCAACCTGGGGCCTAGTGGCATTAAAAGAAAAGGGAAGTAACCCCGAAAAGGACTTGCCACCTCAAGTCCCAATGGAAGGGGATTCCCCTTCAAACATTAACACCATCCACACTCTTCCCTCCTCCCATCCCCTCAATCATCACCCGATCTTCAATAAAGGTAAGTGTCATGAATGTGCATGTCTTCTTCAGTTTGTGTGTAATAAAATTAAAAATTTCATGTGGTAAATTTTTTTTTTTTTCATACTTTGGGTGTCAGAAACGGGTTAATTTGATTTCCATTATTTTATGGGGAAAATTAATTTGGCTAACGATAATTTCGTCTAACATTGAGCTCTCAGAACGGATTAATTATCGTTAGGCGAGGGTCCACTGCATATGCATTCCAATTTTGAAGTGTGTAGGCACATTACAGAGCTTCTGTGTTGACCAAAATGTACATTAACAAATAATGTAAAAATCCTTCCATAAAATATTAGCTGTAACAATGGCTTTAACAAAAAAAAAAAAAAATCTTTTCACTATACAGTGGACCCCCGCATACCGTTGATCCATAAACGTTAAATCCGCATCCCCGATACATTTTATCGCTAAGATTTGCCTCGCATACCGCTAAAAAACCCGCTCAACACTATTCGTCCGAGACGCGTCTAATGTGCGGCCTGAGCCAGCCTCACATGTTCCGCCGGTGGAAATTGTTTACAAGCCAGCCTCCACGGTAACATCCAAGCATACAATCGTAACATTTCGTTTATTACAGTGTTTTTGGTGATTTTATCTGCAAAATAAGTGACCATGGGCCCCAAAAAGCTTCTAGTGCCAACCCTGTGGTAAAAAGGGTGAGAAAAAATTATCGAAATACTGTGATACCATGGTCAAATGCTGATGCTGCTGCTGCTGTAGCACTGTCAGCTGCTGCTGCTGCTGTAGCACATGTCAGCTGCTGCTGCGCTGTACCACCGTCAGCTGCTGCTGCTGCTCTGCTGTTTGTACCGTCTGCTGCTGGGTGCTGCTGTAGCATCTGTCTGCTGCTGCTGTAGCACTGTCAGCTGCTGCTGCTGCTGCACTGTCAGCGCTGCTGCTGCTGCACTGTCAGCTGCTGCTGCTGCTGCTGTAGCACTGTCAGCTGCTGTACCACCGTCAGCTGCTGCTGCTGCTGTACTACCGTCAGCTGCTGCTGCTGTTGTAGTACCGTCTGCTGCTGCTGTAGCATTGTCTGCTGCTGCTGTAGCACTGTCAGCTGCTGCTGCTGCTGTAGCACTGTCAGCTGCTGCTGCTGCTGTAGCACTGTCAGCTGCTGCTGCTGCTGTACCACCATCAGCTGCTGCTGCTGCTGTAGTACCGTCTGCTGCTGCTGCTGCTGTAGTACCGTCTGCTGCTGCTGCTGCTGTAGTACCGTCTGCTGCTGCTGTAGCATCGTCTGCTGCTGCTGTAGCACTGTCAGCTGCTGCTGCTGCTGCTGCTGCTGCTGCTGTAGCACCGTTGTTGGTGTGGCTTATTGAGAATACCAAGAAACAATTAACCCCAGAGGGTTAGCCACCCAGGATAACCCAAAAAAGTCAGTGTCATCGAAGACTGTCTAACTTATTTCCATTGGGGTCCTTAATCTTGTCTCCCAGGATGCGACCCACACCAGTCAACTAACACCCAGGTGAACAGGGAAAAATGCCTGGAACTAGTGCTCATATTGGTGAATTTAAAGCCAGCAAAGGTTGGTTTGAGAGATTTAAGAGTCGTAGTGGCATACACAGTGTGATAAGGCCTGTTCTGGAAGAAAATGCCAAACAGGACCTACAGTACTCAGGAGGAAAAGGCACTCCCAGGACACAGTGTCTCATCAGTCATTGCTGCATCTTCAATAAAGGTAAGTGTCATTTATTCTTCATTTAGTAGAGTAGTATATGCACAATATATACTGTGCATGTACTACTCTACTATTGTGCATGTATCCTTCTCTTTGTGTGTAGGAAAATGTATATTTCATGTGGTAAAAATTTTTTTTTCATACTTTTGGGTGTCTTGCACGGATTAATTTGATTTCCATTATTTCTTATGGGGAAAATTCATTCGCAAAACGATAATTTCGCATAACAATGAGCTCTCATGAACGGATTAATATCGTTATGCGGGGGTCCACTGTAGTTATCACTTCCTACTTAAACAACTAGTGTACTCTGAACTTTCTCTAACTCGGTTATCCTGTGCAGGCATGCAAACATTAATCCAAATAAAAGAAATAAGATAGCCTTAACACATTCTGTCCTGCAGAAAAACTACAAATAACTGTCCTCCACATAAATTATGTAAATTCTCCATGTATCAATTGAACAGAGACTGGTAGCTGAACAACACTTGGGGTCTGCTCATTGAGGCAGCAAGGGACAGCAGTTAATTACCATTTGTAATTGCTCAGTTGTAATTACAGATGCAGAGTTATTCTTGTGGTGCACCATATTCATCAACTTGTTCATCATATAATATTTTTTTTTAAATTTCCAATGGCTGTAGCACTTGAAATTTCTTCTTTCAATTTATTCTGTTCTTCCACCAGTGTACAAGGACCCCAATGAAAATAAGTCACACTGACATTCTTGGGCTATCCTAGGTAATTTACACATATGTTAAACTATGTGTGGTAACAGTATTCATATGTAAATGTACCTAAATAAGCTTACTCATTTGTAGCCTCTTATTATCTCTGCTAAAGATACCAAATTACTATAATCAGGGGGAAGAGTTAAATCCATAGAGGCCACATAGGGATTAGGAGCATCCCGGAGCAGCCCGATCCACCCGGCCCACCAACAAAGTAATTTATTTCTATTAGGGTCTTTGACTTATTTCCACTAATTTGTTTAACCAGAATTTAAGTGTATTTATATTTTTATGTCCCTGTTACTTATACTTAAAGACCAAGGAGGGGCTGGGATACTCAGGTTCAATCAAAGGCAGAGCAGTGAAGTCTCAATTATATTTTTCAAGGGACCTTCACCTAGGTAAGGAATCCTATTGAAAGATCTAAAGGTAAATAGTACTAAATTTAGGCTAACCTAATATAGGTAGGGGAGGGTTTAGCATATTATAATGTGATAATTACAGCAAGGCTAATTTTGCTGCAAATTTAAAAAAAAATCCCATATTAATTTACATGAATATACATATCAAGATAATAAGTAGTTAGTTTTTAGAATGTGTAAGTTTATTTAGGTACCAGTACACATACGTACTATGATCATACAAGGTATAAATTACCTATGACAACTCCAAAAAAGTCAGACAAATCCTAGCATATATTATATTATTATAATCATGGTTGAGCGCTAAACCCGTAGGACTGTACAACGCATTTGGGGGTAGGGAGTGAAAGGTATTCAGGCTCAATTCAGGGAACTGGAACACAGATCCAATTCCCTAGCTCAAGAGCCCCTCACCAGCGTCAAGGGACATTCCTTGAGGGGTTCTAGCATATATTATTATTATAATCAAAAAGAAGCGCTAAGCCACAAGGGCTATACAGCGTTCTAGCATATAGTAAATCATTTTTATAAGGGTTTTAAAAGCACACACACACATATTATATTGCCAAAATAGCAATTATGCAGGTTTACCCTAGGATAACCCAATAAATGGTGCAAAATAAATCTTTGGCGAGAGGGAGGAAACGCAAGTTCTGTGCTCCCTGTCAAGGGTCAAGTACTGCACCTCTCCTCCCACAACCATACACTCTAAATCTTAACTATGAATAACCTCAGGTGCAAAAATTGTGAATGTGACCGTAGAAATATGGGGTAGTTACTTTTAACTTAGACTGGGTAGTAGCACTAGCGTTATCACAGAGGAAGAGAGAGTTTTTTGGTGTCTTTCAGCGTCCGTCACTCTCTTGTTGTCGTTGTCGTTGTCTGGGTTCTTATGGGCCACCAAAGCTAAATCCTTATTGAACCCTGCCTTCCGGGAAACCGGAAAAAAATATGTTTCTTATCATGACTCACGAAGCTGTAATAACGTGGTTGTAGATAAATCACAGAATGGGTGGGACTTGAACCCGTGGGAGGCGAGTCCTAAAACTCGTTAACCAGTATGATAACCATAAATTAGGTTCATTTGTAATTAATTGAACTATTGTACAACGCAAACTATGATAAATTTATTTAGTATTAAGTAGTCAGTAAGCCATTACCTTCAAAACTACCGTTAGAAAACATCTTATCTCCCTGATACACCCCCGTCAACTAACTACATAAAATGTTGTGTAGATGAATGGTTCAGAGAACCGACATGTTGATAAATTAGACACATGTGCAACTCTTGGGTATCTTTATTGAGGAAACGTTTCGCCACACAGTGGCTTCATCAGTCCATACAAAGGAGAATCTTGAAGAACAGGAGGAGAATGAGGTAATCAGTCCCTCAACCTTGAGTCGATGTGGTCAGTCCATCAATTAGACACATGTGCAACTCTTGGGTATCTTTATTGAGGAAACCTTTCGCCACACAGTGGCTTCATCAGTCCATACAAAGGATAAACTTGAAGAACAGGAGGAGAATGAGGTAATCAGTCCCTCAGCCTTGAGTCGATGTGGTCAGTCCATCAATCTTGAATAGAATACGGCATAGGAGCGGAGAAGCAGCTTATAAACCGTAGGGCAGGAGAGGTGCAGCAGTCGTAGGTGGTGTCACATTTGTCCAATGTGGAAGTAGGTCGTGCCCAAGGGTTAGGCAAGCGAAGAATTCCCAAGTATTAAGATCCCAAGAAGTTGCAGTGTCTGACAGGTTCTTTGAACCGTTCATCTACAATTCTGTCAGACACTGCAACTTCTTGGGATCTTAATACTTGGGAATTCTTCGCTTGCCTAACCCTTGGGCACGACCTACTTCCACATTGGACAAATGTGACACCACCTACGACTGCTGCACCTCTCCTGCCCTACGGTTTATAAGCTGCTTCTCCGCTCCTATGCCGTATTCTATTCAAGATTGATGGACTGACCACATCGACTCAAGGCTGAGGGACTGATTACCTCATTCTCCTCCTGTTCTTCAAGTTTATCCTTTGTATGGACTGATGAAGCCACTGTGTGGCGAAACGTTTCCTCAGTAAATATACCCAAGAGTTGCACATGTGTCTAATTTAACAACATGTCGGTTCTTTGAACCATTCATCTACAATAACTACATAAAAACCACCTGGTGGTTCACACTTACACCCACTCACTCACCCATTTGACTATAAGCACAGAAATACGTATCTTAATCTTAAAATAATGATTCCTAACTAGTCACAAGTTTGCCTGTGATACTCCAATATAGAAACTATGTATTGTGCCAAAACAAAAGCATTCACATTGCTAAACTCACAAACTAGTATTTAGTCACTTAGTATTTAGTCAACTTACTCCACAATTTGTAATAATTTAGGGTTAAGAATTATCTAAGTTTGCCCGAAATCCCTAGCCTTGCTAGGTGTTCTAGGGGCCCCCTCTGTAATTAGTATTTTATTACATAAAAAACCACAAAAAACCCAACTTAAAAACCCCCGCATGTAATCCTTACGGGAAAAATAAATTTTGATTTGATTTGATTTGATCTGTTTAAAATTTAAATCTGCCAAAAAATACCAGCTGATAGAACTCTCTTTTCACGCAGCTCATTATTGTAAATGCATAATCCCAATTACTATTGAAAGAAATAAAATTTTATTTGTTTGATTGATTTGATTTGACCCGGACCACTGGGTTTAAAACACTGGACCGCTGGTCCATGGTTAACCACTGGGCCTGCTGTCCATGGGTTTAAACCCCTGGGCCTGTGGTCCACTGGTTAAAACACGGCCTGCTGGTCCACTGGTTAACACTGGGCCTCTGGGCCATTGGTTTAAAACACGGACGCGGTCCATTGGGTTTAAAACACTGGGCCCGCGAGTTTTAAGGGTCGTCTGTCACGGGTTTAAAAACCCATCCGTTTTTAATATATATTGCCAAAACTGAGTTAGAAGTAAAAAGTTTTTTTTTGGTACAGGTACACATAAAAAATGTATACCATAACATATGTGTAAAATATCTAGGATAACCCCAAAAGAATCAGACAAAAGGGCTTATTTTCATTGGGGGGGAAACATTTTTCCCAAAAAGAAAATTGGGCATATTTCCCAATAGGTCAGGTGGGCCCCTTTTTTTAAACCCCGGCAGAACTGACACAAAAAAATGAAGAGCGTACCCGGGGTTTCGGAGAGGGTAGGGGGTCAACGCCCTTCGTAGTAGTAACCCGTTTCCAGTCTCAGTAGTAGTAACCAGTTCCCCAAACGTCCCCCTTTACCAACGACCACCCCTCCGCCCGAGTCACACGAAATTTATTTGTTGCCTCACGTTCAAAGGCCCCCCCCACATGGGTACTCAGCCGGAGTCAGTATTACGATTTAAAAAAGGGAAAAGGTAGGCTGGAAGGGGTCCCCCAATAAAAGCAATTTTACGTAATAACAGCCACGTGAGTTTTCTTCCCCAATCCACGTATCGAACTCCCACTGATAAATGGTGCAGCGGTGTGGACGGGATTTACGTTTTTAAGGGTAATTCAGGCGTTAGAAGATGTTTTTGAGTAGCCGGCGGCAAAGGTGAATCGTCGCCCACCCGCCACTGCCCTCCGTACCACCCGCCAGCAGCCGTACTCCCTCAAACCTGCTGCCCAAGCCGTTGCAGCCCTTTTTAAGCTTCCTGCTTAGTTCGGGTGCTAAATTTCTTCAATCTCCGAGGGGTTGACCGGTTTTGCAATAAGCCAGTCAGTAAGCCGACTGTGGAAGTGAAGCAGCAGCCTATCATCCAGCCTGTCTCCTGTCATCCATACTGCCTCCTCGTGCTTTGTGCACTCGTTACACGTCTTCAGTCTAGCCCCATATCTCGTGGTGTAAGCCAGTCAGCCAACCCGCTTTAACCCAGTGAGAGAGAGAAGTAAGCACGCAGTAAGAAGTAGCCAAGGTTCTCTGATGTATTGTCTATATCGCTTTGTGCCCCTGTTGGATGCTAAGAGTGGTTTTACATCCTGTGGCATAGAGTTGGGTTTATCACGCCACCGTCGTGGGTAGAAGGGGGTGCGCAGCAGTCCCCAGCGAGGTCACACCCACCACATCTCTCCCACCATCCACTCTCTCCCACCACTAGACCACTCATTACCTGTGGTTGTTTGTACCCTTGTACCGGGTCTGTACTGTTTATGGCTCACCATAATTCGGTCAAGAGATTGTAGCTGGCCAACGGACAACCCAATTATGTGAGTTTAGAGAACGCGCATTCTTCGACAAACAGTGAGTGTTGCGTGTCGTCAGGCCCTCAACCCGCCCGTTACTACTCCAATATTCTCAGTGATAATTTTACTTGAAACAATTGTTTTCTTGCATTTAAAGGACCATTTGCGTGTGTGAGACATTCTAGTAAATTTCTTGTGTACTCTTACATCACTTGTGTTTTTTCAGTGCGAAACCGCAGTATTCTCTTGACTCATTATTTTTTACAATATTTTTCAGTGTTTTATTTCTCTTATATTGTTTTATTCTGTGTTTTTCTTTATGTACTACTCCTGTCTGTAGTAAGTATTATTGTGGAGTGTACAGTCTGTCCACTTCTGTGTGAAGAGTTTCTCATTTTTTTTTATTGAATTGTCATTGTATTTCATTGCAGTGATTTTCACCCCAGTATATAAAATAATCCATTTTTTTCTATGTGTGTCTTTTTT